TAAAACTACATGACAAATTATTTTTCACAATTGTATACATTTAGAGTCTCAATAAAAGAGATCACTTTCTTTCTTTTTTTAAAGTTTTTTGCCATTGGGTATGCGTGCTCACCAGAGAGAGACAAAGAGAGACAGTGAGAGAGAGAGTGCAAAACCACCCCATCTTCTCTCCCATCTTCCTACTGAGATTTTGGGCATTCATGCATATGTTCCTGGAGTGATTTTCATGGTAGACTTGAACCATCACGTGGTATTTCAGCGCCTTAACCACTATGTCACCTGTTGGCCCCTGAACACAATTTTTAAAATATGACCATAAGTATTCATTCAATTCTCTAATTAGACTGTTGCTAATCAAAAGATATAATTTATTGGTGCTAAAATAAATTTATAGAAAATGAAGATGTAGATGCATGCAAAACCAATATATATCAGCTTATCCTAAAACTACATGACAAATTATTTTTCACAATTTTATACATTTAGAGTCTCAATAAAAGAGATCACTTTCTTTCTTTTTTTAAAGTTTTTTGCCATTGGGTATGCGTGCTCACCAGAGAGAGACAAAGAGAGACAGTGAGAGAGAGAGTGCAAAACCACCCCATCTTCTCTCCCATCTTCCTACTGAGATTTTGGGCATTCCTTCATATGTTCCTGGAGTGATTTTCATGGTAGACTTGAACCATCACGTGGTATTTCAGCGCCTTAACCACTATGTCACCTGTTGGCCCCTGAACACAATTTTTAAAATATGCACATACATGTATGTACGCATGCATGTACTTCAGCCCCAAACCCCGGACATCATTTAGCAGAGAACAACAGGAAGCATTACCACTAATGTAATGAATGAGACCAGAATTTTCCACTATTACCCCAACAATGTATTATGAAACTAGAGGCATTATGTAGGAAAAAGAAGGTACTGGTATAAAATCTGGAAAGTAGATTTAAAATTTAAATGATTTTGCACATGAAATGATTTTTTTTTTACCTGGAAAAGCCAGGAGCGTCAACTGAAAACTACTGCAAACAGAGGAATTCAGACAGTATCAAGATCCAGCTGTCATACACTACAAATGCAGATAATAGACATGCAAATTATGTCATGGAAGGAAGTGCCTCAGTCTACAATACCAACAGGAGAACATGCCTCAGGACAGATTTAGCACAAGTCATATGCAACAGCTTGCCAAGGGGAAAAAAACCCTCATGCCTGAGTAGAAGCATGCACTTCCAAAATGTTCACTAGATATCTGAACAGGAAAGCTGAGAGTACCGGAGATCTATGAAAACACAGATGGTCTTCAGGTATTGGACAGACTGAATGGATTTCAGAGTCAGCTCCCAAGTATGGCAAGACTGCATTTATTCTCTGCAAACAGAGATCTCCTGGTGCCATATGGAGATGAAACCCTAGAGAAAAGAATTTCCCTGAGGACAAAATTTGGTGTTTGTGAGAAACAGCAGCTGCTTTAAGCTTTAGTTTTCTTTTTGTTTGTTTTCTGGTTTTGTTTTGTTTTGTTTTGTTTTGAGAGGCTTTTGCTATAGGGCATGCGTGCTTGCCAGACAGACAGAGACAGAGAGACAGAAAGCAAAAAATCACCCCTCCCCAGGGGAGATGACCATGCCGCAATCCTTTCTCCTCCATTCTCCTCTTGGGATCTTGGGCACACATGCACATGCGCCCGGCGTGAGTTTTAAGCCACCAGGTCCGGGACTTGAACCATGGTTGACTACATGGGAGTCCAGCGACATAGCCATTATGCTAACTGATGATCGCTTAAGCTGTAGTATTTACCCTCATTCCCTCCGCAGGAAAACAGGTGCTGAATGTTAACACCTTCAGAAGGGTAATGATTAAGTTAGACACATAGTTGAATGCAGATAATAAATGCTAAGATAAATGTCATTGCCGTGGCCAATATAAATTCTTAACTCTTCCCTTTTGCAAAGTAGGATTTGCATGGTTTGTTCCCACAGACGCTTATGCTGAAACTAGGACTTTCTAGTGGTCAAAGTTAACTCAAGAGAGCTTGGCCTGCCTTGGAGACGTTGAAGTCAGTCACCTCACTGTGGCATTCAGGTCTAGACGGGTGAGGTGGAGAATTCAGGTCTCTTCTGGCAGCTTGAAAATCACACTGGGCATGTGGACGTGCATGCCTCAAATCCAGAGAACAGAATGGTGAAGAAGGGATTGTGGCACGGGCATCCTCCCTGGTGGGTGATTTCTCACTTTCCCTTCCACTATGTCTTTGGGTGGGAGCACATGCACCCTATGGCAAAAATCTTTTTAAAAATTATATATATATATATATAAAACAAAAACTCGCCTTTCTCTCAAATGTCTCAGATTGCCTGAAGCAAAAGCTTTTATTTATTTATTTATTTATTTATTTATTTATTTATTTTTAAGCGAGATGTTTGCTATAGGGCGCGTGCGCTCACCAGAGACAGAAAGTGAGAAATTACCCCCTGGGGGGATGGCCACTCTGCAATCCCTTCTCCTTTAGTCTCCTCTCAGGATTTTGGGCATGCATGCACATGTGCCTGGTGTAAGTTTTATGCCACCAGGTCCAGGACTCGAACCATGGTCAACTCTGTGGAAGTCCAGCAATGTAACCACTATACCAACTGCTACCCAAGAGCTCAGTCTTTTCAAAAATGAAACTTGATACCCAATTTAGCAGTGATGGGAGGTGGGGCCTACCGGGAGGTGCTTGGGACACAGGAAAGGTCCCCCTGAGTAGATTAATGCTCTCTCCTCACTAAAGATTTTTCACAAAGGCTGACTGTTATAAAGTATGCCCAGACTGTGCCTGTCCACTGGCCTTTCTGATTCTGCACCATGAGGTGACCCTCACCAGAAGAGCAGTTGCCAGCACCATGTTCTTGAACTTTCATGAGCCAGAAAATCCCTTTTCTTAATAAGTCACCCAGTCTCGGGTATTTAGCTATAGCAACACTAACACAGATGAATATGGGCTTAAGTCTCTCACAGACATGAAAGGTATTATAGAGACAAATTGAACAGACTTGGCAGAGTGGGAGGGACAGAGTTCTTGAGCCTGGGTCTCTGAGCCAGGAAAGGGACAGCAAGAGGCCAAAGGCAGGGGTGTGGAAGGTAGAAGTTTTCTTACAGAAGGTCTCACCAGAACACCATGGCAAGAAAAAGAAAAAAAAGGCATGGAGGTTGGAAAAGAAGTAAAACTTTCTCTATTTCCAGACATCATAATCGTGTGTGTGTGTGTGTGTGTGTGTATACATGTTTATGTATACATTCTTAAAACCTAGAAATAATAAAATCTGTACAGTTGTACGAGATCAATACACATCAATCGATCTTGTTTTAATACACCAGCACTGAACACAATGTGTAAAGGAAATAAAGTAATTCTAGTTATAATAGCATCCAAAAGAATAAAAGACATAGGAACGACTTGAACCAAGGTGGTGAAAGACTTGTCCATGGAAAACTGTTGTAAGAAACTCAAGTCTATGGTCAGCTCCATAGCCTTGTGGTTAAGGCAGCTAGGTCCCACTAGAATGACCATGTGGTTCAAGCCCCAGACTTGGCAGCTTGGAAAACACACCAGGCACGTGTACATGCATCCAAAATCCTGAAAGGTGGGAGAAATGGAGAAGAGGGGACTACTGTGTGACCATTCCCTATGGGGGCACTTTCTCCTCTTCCTCGCTGGCTAGCACATGTGCCCTCTAGCAGGCATGAATGCCTAGGTGAATGAAACTGGAAGTTAAAGGGAATGGAAAGATGGTCCATCTTCATAGATTGGGAGACTTAATGTTGTGAAGATGGCAATACTCGGGCCAGCAGGTGGCATGGTGGTTAAGGTGCTGGACTCCCACAAGGCCAATCAAAGTTCAAGTCCCAGATCTGGCAGCTTGAAACTCATGCCAGGCACACGGGCACGTGTGCCCAAAGTCCCAGGAGAATAGAGAAGGGCTTGTGGCACGGCTATCCTCCCTGGAAGGTGACCTCTCACTATCTCTCCAGTGAGCACACGCTCTTAAAAAAAAATGGCGGTAATCTCCAAAGCATCTACAGGTTTAATGCAATTCTGATAAAAATTCTCACAAGTCTTTCATACAGAAATGATAACGCCATTCTTGGATTCATAGAGAACCGCAAGGGATCCCAAGCAGCCAAAACAAAATTTAAAAAGGAAAAGTGGGGAGAGTCACCGTTCCTTTTTTCAAGTTACTACAAAGCTACGGTGATTAAGACAGTGTGGCGCTAGCATAAGAACAGACAGAGCAGTGAGAGTGCAGTACGGGGCCAGCAGGTGGCGTAGTGGTTAAGACATTGAACTTCCACCGTGGTGCAAGTCCCGGATCTGACAGCTTGAAACTCACTGGGCGCATGTGTGTGAGTGCCCAAAGTCCCAAGAAGAATGGAGGAAAAGGGATTGTTGTGTAGCCAACCCCCTGGGGGGTAACTTTTTGCTTTCTCTTTGTCTCTCTGGCGAGAGCATGCATCCATTAGCAAAAATCTCTCAAAAAAAAAAAAAGGAAAAAGAAAAAAAGAAAAAGAAATGAGAGTACAGAAATAAACCTGTCCATCTGTGGCCAAATGATTTTTGACAAGGTTGCTTCAATGGGGGAGACAGTGGTGACAAATGCTCCCACGTCAGGTAGGTAATCTGGGTCCCAGGTCTGCACTGACACATTGCTGCCCGAGGGGCTACTCTGGAGAGCCACAGAATCCTGCTCTTTTCTGCAGTGCTTAACCCAACAGCATCGACTCATCGTGTCGCCACTTCACCTCGGTCTCTTCCTGAGGGAGGAGCGTGTTTATTTTGTTCGATACTGCATCTCCAGCGTATTTGTACGGAGGAGGCACTGAAGAACTGTTTGGGGAGAAATAATTTCTTCCCCTGTTGTACAGGAGCAACTTTCCAACCTACTAATTTATATCTCCAGCGATTTATCTTCAAAGGACAAGTGAGAACAGAGGAGAGTCACTAAGGAAAGACACATACCTATGATCCCAAGTTTTGCGGCAAACATCAGAGATACTCCGATGGGAAAACCCAAAACATAGTAACCGATGGCATTCAAGATAGCACCAATCTTCTGATTTCCTGTACCTCTCAGGACTCCCCCACAGGTGGCCTGTGGAGAGGAAAACCCAAACCAACATGGCAGTCATGACATTATCATCATCCCCAGTTGGGACATGAATACCCCGAGCTACATGACAATACATGGCCAGAGCACTCTGCCTTAAAACGAGAATTGCACATCGTGTAAGAGAGAAAGGGAAGCGTTCTCCTTCTAAACTTAATGTGAACACCAATGATAACAACCAACCAGAGCAACTTTGAGCAGAAATCCATCACGCGGTGTTATTTAACTCATCTTAACTATTTAAAATGATCTTGTAAAAGCACATGTTGAGAAAAAGTAGAGGCTCTACTGATGTTAACCTCAGCAAAGTATGCATCTGAAATCGGGGCCAACAGGTGGCGTGGTGGTTGAGACGCTGGACTCCCACATGACTGACTGCAGTTTGAGTCCTGGGTCTGGAGGTTTGCTTTCTCACTTCCCCTCTCTCTCGCTCTCTGTCTCTCAGATGAACACATGTGCCCTATAGCAAATTAAAAATAGAATAATGATAAGAGTAGATAAAATAAAATAATTATTTAAAAAAGCTCGTCTGATATCCTGACTGGAAAATAATTTGATTGTGGGTATCTCTTCCACACAATGCTTACCATGGCCAGTGTTCAGTCATGGGTGCCATATCTTCAGGGTGCCATAACGTAGAAGAAATTCCGTGGGGAAAGAAGGCAAGACAACACATGGGCCTAGAAACCATGCCAGTAGAAATAACTGCTGAAACTGGGAACCAGTAACCCAGTGACTCTGGGATACAAAAAGTATCTTCAAATACTGGTAAACCCACAAACCAGCCTAGAGACAGGCTTTCTAGGGGTCAGAGTTAACTCAAAGGGAACATGGCCTGCCTTGGCGGAGTCCATGGCAGTCACCTCATCCCATGGCATTCCGATGGTCAGGGCAGCAGGTTGGGGGGACAACTCAGGTCTCTCCCACCTTGAGAGACTACACTCTTTTTGGAGGGGAAAAGCTGTTTGCTGTAGGGCATATGAGCTCGCCATAGAGACAGAGAGAGAGAGAAAGAGAGAGAGAGAGAAAGCAAGAAATAACTTCCCAGGGAGGATGGCCACACCATAGTCCCGTCTCCTCTTGGGATTTTGAGCACACATGCGCATGTGCCCAGTGTGAGTTTCAAGCCTCTGGGTCCAGGACTCAAAGCATGGTCGTCCATGTGGGAGTCCAGGAAAGTAATCATTACGCCATCTGCTGGTCCCCAGGAGGCTACACTCTTAAGAAATTACCTTGCCTTGGGACCAGCAATTGGCATAATGGCTATGACACTGGACTCCCATGGAGTCGACTGTGGTTCAAGTCCTGGACCTGGTGGCTTAAACTCACGCTGGGCACATGTGTGTGCGTGCCCAAGATCCCGAGAGGAGAATGGAGGAGAAGGGATTGCAGTGTGGCCATTCCCCCTGGGGGTGATTTCTCGCTTTCTGTCTCTCTGTCTCCCTCTGTCTTTCTGGCGAGTGTATGCGCCCTATAGCAAAAACCTCTCCCCCTAAAAAAAAAGGAAAAAATAAAAAGAACTGACCTTTCTCTCAAACAGCTCAGACTGCCTGAAACAAGAGCGCTCTCTTTTCAAAGATGAAATCAGATATTTACTTAAAAAGCCAGAAACACACACAAATTTTGCTATGTATATTAGCATAAAATCACCCCAAATACTCACAGCTAGTGCATCGAACAGGTGAAAGGGAGCAAAAACAGGCATCACTTGGCTCACCAGGGAAATGATATCTCTGTGGGCAGGAAAGGAGTGCCAGTTATCGAAACATCACGTCTCTGCAGTGGACGGATTGACTGCTCATCAAACTACCGACAAGCTGATCGGTCAGTTCAATCAGAACAGTAATTTTTTCAACAAAGTAGGCACATAATAAAGCCTCAGTAATTTGCATTTTAGTAGGTAGAATTTAAGCTAACAGGGCCATGGTCTAGGCTGCCACTGTAAAGGATAACTTCAAAGCTCTGCTTCTGGCACGGTGGTTAAGGCACTGGACTCCCACATGACTGACCACGCCTCGAGGCCCAGACCTAGAGCTTGCTTTCTCAGTTTCCCTCTCTGTCTGTCTGTCTCTGGAAAGCACACGTGCTCTATAGAAAATTAAAACTATTAATAATAAAGCTCCATTTCTGGATATATAAATGTGGGGTCTGGGAAACACAAGAAGTAGACCTTGGTCTATGGATGGGAATCGTCCTCTCTATGAAAGTTGTCCTCAAAAATGGAGTTGAGGCCAATGAGACCTTTGTCTCCTTGGAGATTCCCTGATTTCTGTTCAGTTACAATGGAAGACCAGCTAGGGAGGCCTGCAGAGGGGAGCTGGGACTCTCGAGAGGGACATAGAAGAGGCAGAGGTGGCTAAAGACCTGCGTGATGGACCCAACATAGATGTGACACATGAGACAGGCCACAGAAAACTCCCCAAGGTAAAAGTCTTACAGCTCCCTTCCCTTTCACCCTAAAGGGAAGCATGCTGCCTAACAGTACCCCCGATCAAGTAATGGATTCGTTTGCTAGAGGGTATGTGCACTTCAGAGACAGAAGAGAAGAAAGCACTCCCCACCACCACCACCATGGGTAATGGTCATGTCGCAATCCCTTCTCCATCTCTCCCCTCTCTCTGGATTTTGGGTGCACACACACACACACACACACACACACACACATGCCTGGTATGTTTCTCAAGCTGCACGTTCAGGGCTCTAACCATCAGCCACGTGGGATCCGGCTGCCTTAACCACCAGGCCCTGGAGCTCGCCCGCATATACCATCAATTTAGACAGAGCCTGTCAACCTTCTCCCTAACAGGAGTAGCTCTTTGGAGCAGACCCAAAGGACCTAACATGTGCACGGTCTCTGCTAGTCAACACAGCCATGTGGTCTGTCATCCAAAAATACAAACAGAAAGCCAGTATTTACCGGATACAAGGAAAGTCAACAGGAGGTATGCTGACACAAAAGGAAACAAAGAGTACAAGGAACATAAAAAAATGTATAATTACTCTTCTCAGAGACCTTCATAAGCTAACAACAGGCATGGAAGGAAAAGGAGAAACTGGGGGGGGGGAAGTGATTAGAAATGAAAATATGAACACTAAAATAAGGTGTTTCATTTAAAAAACAGATAATGAACAAACATGTTACAGACTAAATTTCTTTTTTTAAGAAGTATTTACTTTTATTTATTATTATTGTTATTATTATTATTAACCAGAGAAAGAGAGGGAAAGTGAGAAAGCAACCCACCAGATCTGGGACTTGAGCTGCGGTTAGCCATGTGGGAGTCCAGTACCTTAAGCACACCACCTGCCGGCCCCAAGACTAAATTTTAACTTGGAAGATAAAGTTGAAGAAATATTTCAAAACACAAAGAGAGAGACCAGCAGTTAGCGTAATGGCTATGTCACTGGACTCCCATGTAGTCGACCGCAGTTCGAGTCCCGGACCCGGTGGCTTAAACTCACGCCAGGTGCATGTGCGTGCGTGCCCAAGATCCCAAGAGGAGAATAGAGGAGAAGGGATTGCGACGTGACCATCCCCTCTGGGGGGTGATTTCTCACTTTCTGTCTCTCTGTCTGTCTGTCTGTCTGGCGAGCGTACATGCCCTATGGCAAAAACCTCTCCAAAAAAAAAAACACAAAGAGAGAGAAGATGAGAGAGAAAAGCTGTGTCAGATAAATACATTCTAACATTCATCTAAAAAGAGTTCTAAAAGAACAGAGAAAATGTACGGGAAGGAGAAAAAAAATTCCTAAAGCTAAAGAAAAATCAGATGCTTTAGATGATAAATTTTGAAAGTGACAAGAAGAATAAAAGAAAAGACTTACTCACACCTGAGCACACCCAGTGACAAAAATGGTAACTGAGGGGGTCGGCAGGTGGTGTGGTTGAGGCATTGGATGCCCACATGGCTGACCGTGGTTCAAGTCCCAGACCCAGTGGCCCTAAAATCATGACAAAATAAATTAATTAATAAATAAATGTGTGCCTTCTTGCTGTTGTTTGTTTGCTTTTTTAAAGGAACTGAAATATTGCCAGGAAAAACATTTGCCCTACAGAAGCGGCGAGAGCCCAATCCATAGGATGAGTATCTGTCCTGGTGATGTCACCAGGTGAAGATGGCGACGTAGGAAGCTCAAGAATCAGTCTCACCAAAGCCACTACGGAACCAGCACGAAACGTTGAAACCAACTGTTTCAGAGCTCGGGAGCCTGGTCAGAAACTCGCAGTGATAAGGAGGCGCTTGGTAACGGAGGGGCGGCGAAACGTCGGCGGATGTCGCTGTTTCGCACGGCAGCCGTCTTCTCCCAGTCTGCCATGTCCGGGTCGGCCCCCCTGCCGTAGGAAAGGCTGGCCCACTCCTATGAGGTTTACTGGAACCAGGTTTGGCAATATGAACCTTGGCCTCTAAAAATCAAGGTCATATGGGGCCAGCAGGTGGCGTGGTGGTTAAAGGTGCTGGATTCCCACATGGTTGACCACGGTTTGAGTCCTGGACCTGGTGGCTTGCTTTCTCGCTTTCTCTCTCTCTCTCTGTCTCTGTCTGGTAAAATAAAAAAAAAAGCAATAATAACAAATGGAACTAAGTAACTTTTTTTTTTAAATCAAGGTTATAATAGTGGCTGGCAGGTGGCATGGTGGTTAAGGCACTGAACTCCCACATGGCCAACCATGGTTCAGTTCCAGACCTGGTGGTTTGCTTTCTCACTTTCCCTTTCTAGCTCTCTCTCTGGTGAGTACGCACATCCTATAGTAAGTTAATAATAATAAATAAAATTTAAGAAAAGATCAAGGCTACATGTTTTGATCAACCTAGAGGTTCACAGAGGGACTGGCACAGAACCCCCTTGGGATGAAGTCGTTTTCTACGCCTATCAAAGAATTTAGAGACAAAACATTAAAAAAGAAAAAAGGCAGACTCAGTGGCACAGCAGCCATGCGCTACTCAAGCAAAGACGGGTCCATACGGAAGATCACAGGTTGGTCCTGCAGTCAGCCTGTACATGCCGAGCACACATGTTCATTACGCTAACTGCTGCTCCCAACACATTCATGCTCCCGACTGGCTACGAGAGTCGCAGGGGAAACAGCGGGAGACTCTGTTGAGTGTTAGTATTTATCTCTCACTTTTATGAAAAAAAAAAAAAACATTTTTTAATAATGATTTTATTTTAACTTTATTTATTATTATGGTTACTTTCCAGTTTGAGCAGACAGACAGAGCGAGAGGGGGAAAGTGAGAAAGCAAGCCACCAGATTCAGGATTTGAACCACGGTTGGCCATGTGGGAGTCCAGCGCCTTTAACCACCACGCCACCTGCCAGCCCCCCCAAAAAAAAACTTTTAAAAAACCTAAACTTATTAAAAAAAAAAAAAAAAAAACCCTAAACTTATTGGGTAAAAACATTTAAGAACCTCTCTGGGGGTAGAAGAAAAGAAAAAGAAATCTCTCCATCAGGCCATTCAGTCTTCGTAAAATCTAGTCTGAAAAGGTAACTAAAGACATCAACTGTAGACCCCCAACAAGCAAGAACAGCACTTGGAGAGGGAGGGGAATCTGATTTCCAGAATTATCATATTACAGTATTCAAAATGTCCAGTTTTCAACAAAAAGTTATAAAATATACAGACAGGAATACATATCCCATCAACAGGAAAAGGAGAAATTATTAGAAACTGACAAACACTGAGAATTAATTTTTTAGAACTCTGGAAATTAACCAAAGATTTGCAGTGATCTGAGAAGCACTTAATCAGGAACAGTGGCTGAATGTTGCTATGAACAGTAAGCTTTGTGGGGGTTTTTTGAGATATTTTTTATTTTTAATTTTTTTTTCTATAGGGTCCTTCTCCATTTTCCTTTGGGGATCTTGGGCATGCACACATGCCTGGCATGAGTTTTAAGTTGCTGGGCCTGGGACTAGAACCATAGTCAACTATGTGGGAGTCCAGCAATGTAAATATTATATCCGTCTAGTGGTCCCAGTTTTGTGGTTTTAACTTAATCCTAGTATCATTCCTTTGTCCCCAGTTCAGTGTAATCTTGAAAAGTAACAGCTCGGGAACCAGCAGTTAGAGTAATGGCTATGTCGCTGGACTCCCACATAGTCGACCGCGGTTTGCATCCCGGACCCGGTGGCTTAAATCTCACGCCGGGCGCGTGTGTGTGCGTGCCCAAGATCCCGAGAGGAGAATGGAGGAGAAGGGGTTGCGGCATGACCATCCCCCCTGGGGGGTGATTTCTTGCTTTCTGTCTCTCTGTCTCTCTCTGTCTGTCTGGCGAGCGCACGCGCCCTATAGTGAAAATCTCTCCAAAAAAAAAAAAGTAACAGCTCGTATTTCCAGGACTTGCAGTGAAACAACGGGCTGAACTCTCTCAAAACCTCATTCCTGGGACCAGCAGTTAGCATAATGGCTATGTCGCTGAATTCCCATGTAGTTGACCACGGTTCGAGTCTCGGACTCAGTGGCTTAAACTCACACCAGGCGCGTGTGCGTGCGTGCCCAAGATCCCAAGAGGAGAATGGAGGAGAAGGGATTGTGGCGTGGCCATCCTCCCTAGGGGGTGATTTCTCGCTTTCTGTCTCTGTCTCTCCAGTGAGTGCATGCACCCTATAGCAAAAACCTCTAAAAAAAAAAAAAACAAAAAACAAAAAACTCCTTCCTGAGGCCAGCGGGTAGCATAGTGGTTACAGCACTGGATTCTCACATGGCCAACCGCAGCTCAAGTCCTGG